TAAAAAAAAATTATGAGGCTGTGTAGAGCTAACACATTACAAGAATATCCAATAGTCACTTGTTATCTTTAACCAATCAAAATTGTGAAATTTGAACCAGTCTAAAAATCATGTTTTTATTAAAAATACTCTATATATTTGAAATAATACCATAGGCATACTCAAAATAGTATGCAGATGCCTGCTATTTTGTAATTAATTATATTAAATTATTAATTTGTTTTTATTCATCACACCAATAATTGACTGCACCTTAATTAGATTTTTATTTTTAATGGCTAAAGTTATAATAGGTGCTGTATTGTCCTTTTTTCATGTTATAGTAATAGAAAAATGTCTTTAGTTTGACAATTTTTTCTTTTACAAACTGTATACAGTCAACTCTCTCTTTTCCGTCAAAAATGTTTCTTAAGGATTTTTATATATAAAAAATTTTTCAGGTTCGGTTCTCAGATAGTTACTATTAGCTAATCTGAACTTTATAATAAAAGTTACAAATGTTCTGGAGTTTTTCGTTCGGTTTAGAGAGAATTTAATAGTGTTCAGATTAGAGAGTTAACTATTATAATTTTATACATTCATCCTAACTTGCATTACTACTTTACTATATACTCAATATGAGGGATTATATTCTTGCTAAGTAAGATGCTTTTAATCAACTGTAAATTTATGATAAAAATGCCAAAAATTTTTCTTAATAACATTTGTTAAATGAACTAAACTAAGTATTGATATTTCTTAAGTATTAAAGAATTTACAAGCTTACATTATAGATGATTACTTCTATTTAGCACTTGAATATGACCGATTATTGGACGTTACAAATAATTATCAACTATATAAATTATATATTTATTTATCACACATGATTGTCACACTATAGTGCCAAATAAAAATAATTATCTATAATAGACTTATGATGTTCTTAAGCACCTTAATTAATTAAACAATAATTGATTAAATAGTATTTATCAAAATATAAACCTCTGATATTTTTTAGCCAATCTGATTCATTATCAGTCTATCGATTGAAATGATGCTTGAGAATACTCTTAACTGCAAATCAAACCACCAAATTGATATAGAAAAGGCTATTTGGTTTTCTTTAATTCATTTGATCAAACTACTTTTATTGCACTTCTTAATATTCTTCTAAAATTAATCTTGGTACAATATTCATACTTTGAAGTTCTTGAAAAAGTAGTTTTGCAGCATAAGGCATTTGCATTGTTACCATATGCTTGCTGGATTTGCAATGCTGGCACCAACCCCTGTACCCAATTAAACCACACTGTTCACAGACATGAACATCAAATTGATCCGAAGATATCATTAAACGTTCCATAAGTAACATACTAGCACCATAACCGACCAAACAGTCACGTTCCATTTCACCTAAACGCAATCCACCATCTCTCGATCGACCTTCAGTAGGTTGTCGTGTTAAAACAGCACGCGGACCTCTAAAAATAAAATAAATACAAATAAAATAAAATAATAAATTTAACGTAACTCTGATGATTTATAATGAAAATGTGACCTACCGAGCACGAGCATGCATCTTATCAACTACCATGTGCTTCAACTTTTGGTAATATACTGGTCCAAAGAAAATATATGCAGATAGCGGTTCACCAGTTATTCCTATAAAATTAAATTGTAAAAATATTAACAATTTAACAATTTACCATTTATATAATTATAATTCTGAATAGTAGTTACCTGAGGTTACATAATCTTTACCGGAATAACTATATCCATGCTCAATCAAGATCCTACTCATATCTTCAACTTTACTACCACCAAATGCTGTTCCATATTGTAACTCTCCTTTTAGAACCCCAGCTTTACCCGCCAATAATTCAATCATTTTACCTACTGTCATACGTGAGGGGAAACCATGAGGATTCATAATTATATCAGGACAAATGCCGGAATCTGTAAATGGCATATCTTCCTGTGGCACAATAATACCACAAACCCCTTTTTGACCATGACGAGATGAAAATTTATCTCCTAATTCTGGTATACGCGTCTGTCTAATTAGAACTTTAATCAGAGTTTGCTCCTGCTCAGTGGTTGTTATGCAGACCTAAAATTGTTATATAATGTTAATAATCCCTAATTTTTTAAGTGTCCTGTGAACGAGACAAATAAACTACAATCTAAACCTTATCAATATAACCAGTTTCCGGTGATTTATAAGTCAAAGGTGCATGTTTCCAAGTAAACTGAATCACTGGTGCATTGGCGATAGGCATATTTACTGGAATATTTGTGTTTAAATTTGTTGGCGTATGCCTGTTTACGATAACCTGCCCAGGGTTAACTCGTTCACCGACACCTGCAATTCCATCCTCTTCCAAAATATTAAATCTATCGGCCGATGGTCCCATGGGTAGACTTTCCGGTGGCGGTGGATCACCAATGCGATCAAAGGAACCATTTGAATATCTCTTCATTAAAGCGACATGTTTCCTCATGACTTGGCAACGACCAAAACCACGGTCAACCGATGCCTAAAGAAATAGCATTTAAAATTAATTATTAAACTAATTGTTGAATAAAATCATATATATAAAAGATACATACTCTATTCAACACTAAAGCATCTTCAATATCATAACCGGAATAACTCATAACTGCGACTATTGCATTTTGCCCTGCTGGAAGCTATAATACAATTGCGTGTCAATGATTTTATTTCAATAATTTTCTGACAATAGTTTAATAAGCGTACCTTATTATATCCAACCAACTCAATGGTTTTTGTTTTTACCATTGGTTGTTGCGGGTATACCATAAGATACAGAAGGGTATCTATCCTTCGAAGTTGGTTATATGCAATAGCACCAATAGCTTGTTTTCCCATAGCACATTGATATCTAAATATATCCGAAATATTTTTAAAACAATTAATTCGTTTTGTAACTAACAAAAGTGTAAGTAACTTACGTGTTTCTAGGACTTTGATTATGATGTGGATATGGAATTAAACCTGCTACAGCGCCCAAAATCGTAAATGGTTCAATTTCCAGATGTGTAGTTTGATAAT